AGGCATTACATTGTCTCAGAACAGGGAGCCATACCTTTGCCCTGGGGTTCTGGTGGCATGCTCTGGGCCCCAAAATCATGAACTTTTTTTTATCAACATTATCCCGTTATGGCTTCTAGTTAATTCAGGAAATACCACTCAGCAGAATTCTGCTTATCAGCAAATTGCTGCCCCACAGTGATGGAAGCACAGCCTTCATGAGGTGTTGTGTCCACCAGAATGCCATGTCTCAGCAGTTAGTGGAAATTGAACACCATGCAAATATGGAGTATCTTGTACCAACTACTCTCTCAGTGCTTACCTCCCTCAGTGCTTACCCTGTGTAGTTTGTAAATCAGATATAGATAAACTAACTCCATGCATTTGTACTAGTAACATGCAGTATCACTGCAAAAGTTGTCATGTTCTGTGTAAAAGGTGCCATGAGTTGTGTTGGAAGTGCAAGACTTGGAGGACTGAGTACAATCCCTATGATATAGTTTGGATATTTGTCCCCTGTAAATCTCCTCTTGTAGTCTGATCCCCAATGTTGGAAGTGGGGCCTGGTGGGAGGTGTTTGGGTCATGAAGGTGGATCCCTCATGAATGAATTTTTTGCCCTCCCCATAATAATAAGTGAGTTCTCCTATTAGTTTACATGGGCTGGTTGTTTAAAGGAGAATGGCACCTGCCCTGCCTCCCTCTCTGCTTCTTTCACCCTGTGACACACCTGCTCCCCTTTTGTTCTCCCCCATGAGTAAAAGCTTCCCGAGGCCCTTATGAGAAGCAGATGTTGGAGCCATGCTTCTTGTACAGCCTACAGAACCATGAGCCAAATAAACCTCTTTTCTTTATAAGTTACTCAGTCTTAGTTATTCCTTTATAGCAATGCAAAACTGACTAAGACAGCCTGTATTTATTGGAGTGAATTAATGTGTGTCTACCTGGAATCAGGCACTCAATACAAGTGGATCTTAGCTGTGGTCATTGTGCTTTTTCTGTTGATAGTGTTAGATATGTATCTGTAGAGGTTATGAAGTTCTCTCTAAGTGTAATCAGAGAATTTTGTGGTTTCATTCATGTTACCAAAGAGATCAGAGGGCTCAGAACAATGAACACAATGAGATCTTGTCCTGAAGGACAAGAAATCCTCATCCACTCCAGAGCAAGAAGAAAAAGGACAAGAACAGGCGAGAGATGTCATTTTACAGAGACCCACATCCAAGAGAATGGACGGAGTGTCTTTCCAAGGATAAGCAAAAGTGGCAGGAACTGAGGCCAGAAAGATATTACTGCTTTCAGCAAATGGTGTAGACCACAGTGTAACTCTGAATTTCCCCTTGGAAAACATTCCAGATACAGTGCCCCTTAATTTCTGGAACCCATTCATGCAGCTTCAGTCTTAATGAAAAATGAGATCCAAATGGCCAGTTGTTTAAGTAGCAAGGCACAAGAAGGACCTGTATAAAAAGCTGGTCAAATGGCTCAGCAAATGGGGTGTACCCTTCCAAAAGCTTTTGAAACATCAGAAGAAAGAACCACTACAGAGACAATTTTGGATGACCTTGTAGCCTCTGGAATGTACATGTATTAAAAAATAGGGAGCAGAAAGCCTTCACTGAGTGCATCAGAATAGAAGAATCACTTTACGAAACTAGAGATTCTCTAAGGAGTATTGGTATTATTTATAGGTAGAAGTGGGCAGGCGAGGAGGGACTTGAGTAGAAGTGTTAATTACATGTGGCCCTTGGGTCCTATTATCCAGCTGGTCCCTGAACTGACAGTTTGATTCAGCTTCTATTATTTGTGGACAGAGTGTAGAATAGGTTAAAGGGGGCTAGATGATATACAAGAAGGCAAAGGATACTTTTCATGTGCCATTTCCATAGATGTTAGAAGTGACATCATGCTCAGAACCTAAGAGCCCATGTAGGCTCACAAGAGAGAGGGCAGTGACCAGTTCCTGATGTCTGCCATGGGATCAAGGAGGAAGGCTACACAAAGTTAGTGATTTTCACAAAGTACAGGGGTCTCTTATACCCCCCCTGTAAACATCAGATTTCTCCATAAAAAACTAATACCTAAGCAACCAATTCTTAATTTACACGAAAGTAGTGCTTTTGAATGCAAACTCAGTTGGATTTTCTCTTATTATAGTTCAGTCTTATTTCTCAAGACCTCAGTAGTCATCTTAACTCTCCTTTCAACTAACCTTTGTAGAGACACAGGAATGGGTGAAGGGACAAGGGATGTGGAGATAGGTGAGGAGTTTTGTCCTCTACTTTTACTCTACAGTTTGAGGGTTCCTTGGCATGTGACTTCCACGAGGCATATTGCAGAGCTGATCTCCATGAACACTACTCCAACAAGGAAGGAAAGGAAGGGGGTCCCCCACTCTTGGAGGATTCATCTGGGATCTATGCAGAGATTTAGGAATGTTCTGGATGGGCAGGACATCCATTTTTCCTCTAGCTCAGCAACATCTTCACTGATTTCTATATTTTTAATATCCTATTAAAATATTTTAAAAAGAAAATAATCCTATATAATATATAATGTGGAAAAACACAGACCTATTTTTTAAATAACAAACACTGTCATATAAGCAGCCAGAAATAACCACAATTATTCTTTGCTGTTTTTAGTGTCAGGATTTTTTTTTATAAATCCATGTTCATGCATAACTATTAAAAAGTTGGTCTGTTTTGTTTATGTTGCTTGAGACCCAATTTTAAATTAGTACAACCTGAACATTTTCTAATACGGTTAATCATTCTTCTACAATATTTTTATTGTAGAAGATTGCTATATAATTCTAATGCATGAACACCTGATGGATTATTAATCCCATTATCCAGTGATGCACATTTAGGTTGTTACCAACTTTTTGCTATTCTTAATAGATTCAGTGCTGAAATGAATATCCTGATGTATAAAATATTTGTGAACATGCATGAGTGATTCTTAAAAATAAATTTCTAGAATAGTATTTATGGCTCAAGAGTCAAACAGATCTTTGAATCTTTTGATTCTTCCCAAACTCCCCTTTGAAATGTTTAAATTACTTTATAATACTTGTGCATTGTAGAGCACATTTCTCCATTTTAGATCAGCCTACTTAATTGGAATTGATCTGGGACTTATCTCTGGATTCTTCCAACATTGAAACCAGCAATAATATGAAGCCACCTCAACACGTACATACTTAACAGATCCAAGTGACTTCATTCTCCCCTATTTAGTAACTACTTATCACCCTGCTGGACAATTTGTGTCTAGAGCTTCCAAATATCTCCAGATTCTTGTAAGTGCTATCTGAAGTGCTTGTGCTTCACACAGGTGCTACCCTGTTACCTGTTTCATACCTGCTTGACGTTATGGACCACTCACATTTTCAGGAAATGGAGTTCGCTCTCCAATGACCACAGTAGCCCTTCTGAAATTTTATGTTGTCTTCACTGCTTCTGGAAACAGCTTCCTAATATCCCAGACCCACCCAACAGAGGGCATAAACTTTATTATCCCTGAAATCAGGAAGACTAGCTTACAGGAGAAAGAGCAGAGGCTTGGGAGTCTGGGGAACTGGGCTCTGAGTGTTATTAAAAAAAAAAAAAATCTTTGGTTGATCTTAATTAATTTCTTCCTCCTTTCTGGATATGAGTTTCTTATCTTGAAAAGCAGAGGCTGCGAATGGTGGCTCATGCCTATAATCCCAGCACTTTGAGGTACTGAGGCGGGAGGATTGCTTGAGGCCAGGAGTTTGAGAATAGCCTGGACAACATTGTAAGACCCCAACTGTAAAAAAAATGTAGATACTGGACTGTTGTTCTTTATCTCTCATTTCACCTTGATATTTGTAGCTTAAAGACATGCTCTCCACCAAATTTGTGGCTGATAATTCCACCTAAATTGGACCAAGTACTCCTCTTCCTTACAATCCTGCTTAAAATTCACCTCCCTTTTCACAAATATCACTTGATAGATAGGTTTCTAAAGGTCATTTTGGAAGAGACGCAATTTGGAGAATGTGTGTATATGTGTATGTGTCTGTACTTATTTGTATGAATATCGTATCTCCTAGAGAAGACTGACAATTCTCCAAGGGTGGGCATTGTGCATGTGTATCTTCCTCTCCCTCTTGCTGGTGCAGTTTTAGGCGTCTCTGCACATAGCAGCTTCTCAGAAAAAGGTAAAATTGTCTGAGCTAATGAAGGTGGAGCTTGTGTGGGTGAGTGGCTGCTTACAATGAATGGGCCTCTTTGTGAGTGTGTCTCTGTGTGTGTTGGGGTGTCTGGAAGGGAAAATGAATTTTAAAAATGAATCATCAAGTTCAAATATGTAGAAATAAAGGGTTTTTTTGGGAGGCGATAGATTGGAGACGTGTGGCCAGGATACTGAATGTCAGAGATGGCCTAGAGCAGGCACCATGGAGCTCAGGCATGACTCAGTCCATAGCAAGAGGAGAGCCTTGCTCCAGCTGAAGCTGCCCAAAGTGACAGGCTCTGGGTACCATTATGCAGTCTCCATTGCCCTTCTAGGGATGTCTCCTAAGTGTATCCCCACACCCCCACAGAAGTACACAGTACTTGGACTGGATAGATGACCTCTATCCCAACTCCTCTCTGTCTATGGGTCCTGACTCATGATGGGAGAACAAGGAAGAGGGAAGATTCAGCCAATGACACACACAGCCAAGAGTGCAGTTAAAAGTGATTTAATGAGGGCAGAGCAGGAAACATGCATTTTGCCCATCAAGAATCCCTCTTCAGATGAACCCCGAGCAGCCATAGACCAACAAAGCCACTGAGGCCTTCTGCTTCATTCAGAGGCTTAGAGGACTCTGAAGAGTGTGCATAAGGAAAAGTTTCATAGTGCATATTTTAGGATACAAATAAGAGAGAGACCATGACTTAGGGTGACAACATGCTGAGTCAAGGTCCATAGACAAGATGCAGAAGCAGATGGGAAGAGGGTGTGCAGCATCTGGTGGTTGGCTCCTCAAGAGTATAGCTGTGGCCCACATTAATTCTGCTTGGTCTTCTGCTGAGCTGGGCCTGGAGTGACTGGAACCTTGGTGTAGCCAGGCTCAGGGACTTTGGTGTAGCCAGGCTCGGGGACCTTGGTGTAGCCAGGCTCAGGGACCTTGGTGTAGCCAGGCTCAGGGACCTTGGTGTAGCCAGGCTCAGGGACCACAGTGCATATTGCATCAGGGACCTTGGTATGTCCTGGTTCAGGGACCTCTGGGTAGACTGGCTCAGGGAATTTGGTGTAGCCAGGCTCAGGGACCACAGTGCATATTGCGTCAGGGACCTTGGTATATCCTGGCTCAGGAACCTCTGTGTAGATCAACTGAGGGTCCTTGGCGCAGCTTGGCTCTGGAATCTTGGTTTTTCCAGGTTGTGGAACATTTGGGTGGCAGGGCTCCTTGGTTATGGGAACAAATGTTTCTTGACGTGGAGGCTGGCAGGGTTGTTTCACCTGTTGCTGCTGAGGCTGAGGGGGTGGGGTAGGAGTCTGCTTCTGCTGGTAGGAACTCATGCTTCAAAGGATGCTGGACCTAGAGACAGAAAACTTCATTCAGTGGTTTGATTAAATAGGAATGAATCCTGTTTAATGACAAATAGCTCTCATCTTATGCCCTTCAGAAGTGAGAACTTCTCCATACTTTCTTTCTAGTTCTCTGAATTTGATATCATAGGATGCTTTGATAATCTTTGTGTACTTTCAAAGACAGAAGGTAAAGTTGATTTGTTCTGCTCCATGGGAGTGGTGCCTTTCTCTGCTTCCTCTCTTCCTGTTGCATCTAAAAGCGTACATTAGCAAGAGAGCCCAAGAAGCATACTGGGGGTGATGGGAGGCCCCACTTTTTTTATAAGTTGGAAATGTGGTAAAGGCAGTATTCTGACATCCACATACTCATGTCCACCTCATGGGGTGCTGTAGCTCTCAGGGGAAACTAGCTCAACCTCCCCCTGAGGCCACATGATGCCCTTTTGAGCCTCTGTTTACACTGTGCCCTTAGCACATGCTTTCTGGAAGGTTCGCTCATCCTTCAAGCTCTCCTCCCTGACGCTCTCTGGCAGATTCCAAGTTACCTTCCTCATTTTGCCGCAGCGCAATACTAGCTTTGCCTTCTTTGCTCATCACTTGCCAAGTTGCATGTTTACAAATTGTGTCCATGTATGTTTTCTGATAGAGTATGCATTCATGGAATAAAAAAAAAATTATCTTTTGAACATCCTAATTGCCAATACATTACCACCTATATTACAAATTTTCAATAAATATTAGAGGGAGAATCAAAATGTCACTAAAAGTATGCTTGAAATGGGCATAGGCTCCTGCTAACTGAACAAATCTTTATAGAAACCACTCCCCTTTCCCGACCCCACCTTCCACAGCTGTAATCTGAGTGGAAAGTCAAAATATTTCCAAAGTCACCTTCAATAAAAGTTACTATTGCATTTAAAATACATACATTCATAGCATGGAGAGGGGGCCCAATTAATATAAAGTTCTGATGGGAAAATATGAAGATGTTCCAAGTGGGGAGACTTACCCGTAAGCAGAGAAGTTGAGCGGTTCGGCCTCTGGGGTATGGTGTGGAGTCTGTGGCCAGCTGGCATTTTATACAGAAAATGAGACCTGCCTTGAGGAAGTGGGATTTTTTAGGCGGCTCTACCTTCATTCCAGCTTTTGTGATGGAAATCTCTGGCTTAACATTTTTTGGCACTTACTGTCTGATGGTGCTGTCACTTGACCCCATGCCTCCTGCTGTCTACCCTCTGTGGTGTGGTCGCTGTGGGCAGCAGGCTTTGTGAATGGTAATAGGTTAACACATTGACTGCCACTCGTGAGTTGTATTTAACTCAGGCTAGTTTTGAACCTGGGGCTGCATGAAGCAAAACCCTACAGTTGATTTGTGAAAATCTTACTTATTGATGTTCTTATTGTTACAATTAACATTAACAATTTAATTCTAAAAATGTGGATTGTGTTGCATATAACTAACACACAGAAAACAATAAAAAATAACACATGAGAAAGGATTGTTTTATTTTAATAAAACACGGTGGCCCCAGGAAAGAATTTTGTTTTGTTGTGTGGCAGTTGATGTGTTATGTCAGGAGGCAATTCTTGGGCTCCTGGGCCCAGAACAAACCATGCCTCTTGGCTAAGGACCTACTCTTTAGCCCAACTAGTCCTATTGGGCTCTGTAATATTTGAAGTGAATGTGGAGATGACAACAGGCATTTCTGATTTTTTGGGAAAGCCAAGGGGATGGTGTAGAATAAGTGCATCATCAGATTTTCAACCTCTCAGTGGATGCCAGCCCTGGAGGGGAAGTGGAAGGCAAAATGCCTGCTTTGGAAATGAGTTGTCTTCATTCTGCAGAGAACCTTAAGATGCCATGTTGACCAGGGACAAGGGTATCATTGGGATGGACAGTCAGGATTGACTGGACAGTCAGACATGGGGCACAGCCATGAAGACCCGGCCTCTCATGGTGTCTGTCTTCCCTAAGGGTGATATAAGGACTAGAGAGCTCTGATTCCCGGAGTTTATGTACCAGCCATTTCAGTCTGATCACAATTGGATGGACCTGAGCTCATGAACCCAGAGTGGCCCTCAATACACAATCTCTTACTGACTTTCCCTTGGGAAACCCAGACACCCTTATGACTGAGCTGTGTTGGTAGCTCTTCCTTCCCACTGCCCCACTGCTGTGCAACCTCCCATGACCCTGGTACCCAGGCACAGCCACCACCACCAGCTCCTTTGTCAGTTTGCCAAAGCCAGTTGTTGTTCCTCATCTTCACACACTGCCTGGTTACCACAGGTGCTCAGTCAATGGACAATTGTCTTTTTTCTGAGTAGATCTGTAGGTTCATGGAAGGAGAGAAGTGGGGAGAGAGAGGGAGGTGATAGAAAAGATGGAAGAATGGAGGAAGGAGGAAACCATAAGGCTGCTTCTTGAAAATGATTCACTGTCTTGTGACAGCCTCACGGTATGAGCTGAGAGGAGTGAAGTTTCACTGAGGAGCCAGAGCTTCCACATCCTTCCCCACCCCTTTCCTTCCCTCTCAGACAGCATTTGACCAGCCACCTCCCTCTGGGTGGTGTCACTGACACACCCAAGCTCTAGTCCCTGGTATAGCATTAGCTGTCCTTTAGGGTTGGGTCCAGGCTCCTCTCCTCACCAAAACCACCTCCCAGGAGCCCCTGACACAGGAGCTCTGGCCAGATCCTGCTGCTCCACCTGGATTCTCATCTCCAGAGGAGCCTGCTTCCTGCCCCTCTGTATGAAGCTGGTGTCTCTCACGTTCTCCCTTGATTCTGGACCTTGGTTCTAGAAGAGATGCCTTTCTCATTTCCTGTGTTCCTTCTCTGGGTGGGCTCTCTCCTGCCCTTCCCTAGCTGGTGCCTCATTCACCCCAACAAAAGCCTCTGTGCCACCAGCTTTCTGAAGTTGTCATTTCCCCCCAGCCCTGTTATTCCTGTTTGTTTGTAAAGCACACTCTGTGGCTGAGTGTGAAGGCTCTCCCTGCCCTTCGGAGAAGCTCTGTTTCTTCACTGGCAGCGTGGGTGTGCTGACGAATCTGCCTCAGTGCACAGAGGGAACCTGAGTGGGCTCTGAAGGCGGGTCCCACCTCCCCTGGTGCCTCGGTTTTTCCCACTGGCTCCCTTTCCTGGTGACAGGAGGCTGCTGCTCTTCCAACTTCATTGTCCTGGGACTTTCTTAGGACTTGTCTGTGGATGCTGCTGGGTACCTCTCAGGCACTCTGCAAACCTGGATGTTGGTCTTTTGCCTGTCATGGCTGTGTGGACGACCCCCACACATAGCCTAAGACTCTGCCCCTCCTGACCCAAGAGTCTGTGACGCCACCATGTGAGCTGTCTGTGGAAGCTGTGATGCACCCGTAGATGTGCAAGCTTGAAGTTCAGCACGGTAATGTCCAGCCACCTGGCTTCGGCAGTGGAGGACGTGAGCAGATCCATAATGATTCCCCATTTCATTCTCCGAGAAAACCTTTCTGTGACACCATTTCTCTGTCCTCTCAGAGGATCCTGGGGATCAAGTTCCAGTTGACCCGTGGTGGTTACCTACTTAGTAGCATATGCTTTGTAACAGATTGATTTTTCCTTTTGCCTAGTTTGACTCCCCCTTAATTTCATGTTCCTCCTTCCTCTGATGTCATTGCTAAATGTGCTCCACATAAATCTTTGTCGTAGTCTCTGTCTGGGGCAAAGCCTGGCTTAGGCATGTTATGCAACACATGCTTCATTTGAGATGCAGCAGGGAAGCACCATTGCCCGGTCATGGAAACCAGCGCTTGGGCCAGGGTCGGAGGAATCATCTGGTGGATCAGAGTAAGAAATTAGGAATTAATATAAGGCCTGCTTTGGGAGACTCAAACTAGACTGTCCCCATGGAGCGGCCACTAGCAGTATGTGACTATTTAAATGTAAACATAGATATTTGGATCTGGATCAAGGAAGAACAGCATGGCAAGACAGAATCTTGTCCACAGCTGAGCAATTGGAATTCTGGTGCAGATCCTGTGGGTGGATATTCATGTACTTTCCTCCACACAATTCTGTTCATGATTGATTTTCCTTGGGTTTAAAACCCTGGAGTTGGCCTGGTGAAAGCAGTGCAACTTAGCATCATGACATGATGGGGGCAGAGTGCACCGGCAGCCTTAGGATCAGGGTGGTGCAGGGGATGTCCCGGGCGTGAGGCTGTCTTAGGGGGCCAGGCAAGGTTCTGTGGCTCCAGAAGTGTGCTCTGGGGTTCTAGTGTCACTATCTTGGTCACCATCAGCATCATGCTACTATTCTTAGCTAACTCAGCCACCCCCAGCACATTGCTGCCCTGTTACCGTGAGAGCACAGCCTTCACAAGGTGATGGGTCCACCAAAATTCCTTGCTTCAGAAGTTAGTGGAAAGTGGACAGCATGATGTGACAAAGTGAGTTAAACCAGGCCCTTGAATGCTTTTCATGGCGATTGCTCTGTGGGATTTGTAAATCAGACAGACATGAAATAACTTCCTGCATTGTTTACTAGTACCATTTGGTGCCACTGCCTTGGTTCTTGCTAAAGTGCCAGGGATTTGATTACTCTCTCCTCATTCATATTGAGCCATCGGTGCAATATTATTAAAGTAAAAAGACAAAATGTCTTATTATTATTTTGTCATCAGTCTTGACATCACAGACTAACTGATAGGATCTCAAGGACCCCTGAAAACCTGCAGATCACACTTGTAGAAATCCCCTTCTAGCATAACAACTTCAGTGTGCCTAGATTTGCAAAGTTAAGACAATTCCTATTTTTGGCCCAGGCATATTGGCCCCTGAGGCACGGTAACATAGAAAGCCTTGAGATGAGGAAGACCTAGAACCTCACAAATTACTATTAATATCTTGATAAAAATATCCTTCCATGGCTGTCATACTTTTGAGAAGGGTTAGGTGGAAGGAGGACCAAAATGGCTACTGAGGATTTGGGAAACAGGATCAAACTATAAAAGG